AGCCACTGTGAGCCCCATGCTGTAGCAGAAGTGAAGTCAAGCTCAAATGCCCCCACCAAGCAATCAGAGAGCGTTTGCTTCTTATCAAAACAAAAATAAATCATAGTATCATCAGCAAACAACGCCACCTTAGATGTGAGAATATCTGGAAGATTGTTAATGTAAATTAATAAGATTAAAGGGCCTAGGAACAGTCCTTCAAAAACCCTTTACAGGATATGATACAAATATCAAACAGTGAATCAACTTATTTGTCAGCTATATCAGGTAGAACGCAACTAGTGGAATCGAGAGATGATATTGATGAAAATTTCTTAGCAAACAATTCAACTTTGTCTTTAGGTGAAGTGGCAAAATCTAAACCATACAAGAGAGGTAGAATAACAGTTTTGCCCTTATTATTGATACTGTTAAAAGTTCTCCATAAGTCACCAGAGTCTAATTTTTGTGATAAAATATGAGATTTCATGACTCAAGAATAGCAGGATTTGGCGTATAACAAAAACTTTTTACAATGGTTTCTAGCAATAGTAAACAGGCGTCTATTTTCTTGCAACAGTTTTGCTAATAGATATGGAGTAATGGTTTCAATTGGAAATTGAAGCAGCACAACGTGTGGCAAACCATGACGAAGAGTAAGGCTTGACTTTGAATCGTCGAGAGAGAATTAAAGATATCATGCCAGCCTGAATCCATAAAGTTATGTAAAAAGCACATTTGTCAGCAGGAAGATGAAAGATTTCAACCCAAGGGCCTTCACGAAGAAAATCACAGAAAGAGTCCCAGTAAGCTTTAGGATAGTTGTAACAGGTACATTGATAGGGGGATTCTGATGATAATGGTATAATAGTTGATTGAGTTGAAAAACTGAGCACTGACTAGGATCAAAAGCAATACATAAGTTGAGTAGAGAAGGTAAATGGTTCGGATTGTGAAGAAAATGTGTTGGAAATTAGATTATTTTTGTTAGAGATTAGGACAAGAAAAAGTTGTAGGCCTTAACGCCTGCAGAGTCGCTGACAGTAGAGCCAACCCATTTAATGTGATTAGCATTAAAGTCACTAACAACAACAATATTGATTGGTTACAAAAGAGAGAAGGCTAGGTCAATTTGATTAGAAATAACATCAAAAAAAGCGCAGTCTTGAGATGAAGGAGAGCAATGTAGAACAAAGAAAAAGGCAATAGAGTAAAGTGGTGCTAAACAAAAGCACATAAAAAAACAGTTGGTGGTTTTAAACCAAAAAGCACATAAAAGAATAGTTGGTGGTTTCCAAATGGGTGAATTCTTGTGAATGTAAACGCCCATACTAAGCATGTGACTATTGGAAGCTTTACAAATTAAAGAAAGATACCCATCAACACTAAGATCACAAGATGAGACAGTCGAATGCAAATTAGTCTCAAAAAGAGCAAGTTGGTCTGGTGAACTTTGCAAGAGATAAGACTCAATAGAAAAAAACTTTCTTCAAAGACCACGAATATTAGTGAATGATAGGTTTAGAGAACTTGGTGATGATGATGGTTTTTTGTGTTTTATAGTTTTTGGTACTTTAGTCATAACTAAAAGAATCAATATTTCCATTACCAAAAAAAATCAATATTAAAAATACTGATGTATTATGCCCTCAACAAATATCTGAGGTGTTTAATAAATATTTTACAAATGTCTGACTTCATCTGGCTAACAAAATTACACCAACCATGTCACCAACCTATAATTCTTTAAAAATTTAAAACCATCAGATAACGCAACATTGCATGGTTTTGATTTAACGTTAAAAAAATTTGAAACAGCTTTTTTATCTTTAAAAAATAATAAATCACCGGAATTTGATGATATACCCAGTAATATACTTATTACAAATAAAAAAAGTAATAGAAAACCGTTATTTTATACAGTAAAACTTTTTTTCGATCAAGAGGTATTTCCTGGTGTATTAAAGTTAACAAAAGTATTTCCAATTTATAAAAATGATGATCATTCTAACGTTTCCGACTACAGGCCTATATCAGTGCTTTCTGTATTTTAAAAAATATTCGAACCTCTAATTTACAATAGAATCTTTGATCATTTTACTAAAAACAATTTTTTTTCATTCAAAACAATTTGAATTTCCTTCAACTGAAAATGCTTGTATTGAATTAGTTGACCAAATAAATTTACTTTAGATATATTTATTGTTCTCTCAAAAGCTTTTGACACTGTTGATCATTGTATTTTGTTAGAAAAGTTGAAGCATTGTGGAGTAACTAATAAGGTCTACTCTTGGATTAAAATTTACCTCACTGATAAAAAACAATATGTTCTAAATCAAGAATGCAGAATACTTAAAATCACACGTGGAGTCTGCAAGATACTTCATCCTCTCTTTTTCTTAGTTTATATAAATGACTTAGTTAATGCATTAGTAAAGTTAAACCCAAGTATGTTCGCAGATGACACAAACCTATTTCTTTTTAACAATAGTATCAAACAACTTTATGCAGGCATGATTAATAAGATAAATAACTAGTTTATGGCAAATAAATTCTCATTAAACATTAAAAAAACAAAGTATACCTTATTTCATGAGAAGAAAATCTTCCCCTTTAATTACCAGCCCTATTTTTAAATAAAATACAAATAAAAAAAACAAGACTATATAAAGTTTTTAGGAATACTTGTTGACAATAATTTATCTTGGCTTCCCCATATTTAATATTTACAATCAAAAATTAGTAAAACGATTGGTCTGATATGCCGAGTTTGTCCATATGTAAACACATTTTGTCTAAAGTTATTATACTTTTCTTTAATTCTTAGTTTAAATTACAAAAAACATATTAAAATCAAGAAAAGAAAAAATATTTATTCACTAGATTACACAAAACCTTTTTATTCAATTATTAATCTGGAAACATTTAATGTAAAAAGTTTTGGTGTAGAAACACTACATTTTTGTAAAGAATCTATACCAGTGACGATAAAGAGGATATATCACTCAGTCCTATGTTACTTGGCATGTGTGAAACAATTGGTTTTTTTTGAAATTTTAATAGAAGCAACATTTAATTTTATATAAAGAATGTTTAATCAATTGGATTTATCAATAAAGCAGATAATTTGTTGTTATTTGTTTCTTTTTTGAAAATTTGTATAGAAATTCAACATTTTTGCAGTATTTCTATACCATACGTTTATTAGAAATTGCTATAGCAAAACCCTCATGAGATGAATTGACAAAATGACATCATTGCATTAAAAAAGACATAAATATTTTGGAAAAATATGTTTCTCAAAATAAAACATATGTAATGTATTTTGCAAAAGCATGTAAACTTTTGCATTAACTTAAAACGCACAAAACATTTTCTAGTCAAAATTGTTACTAACACACAGAAGAAAAAGTGCAAAATATTTTTTCTCTTTTTTCAAAAACAGCGGATTTTTGTGTTAGTGAAACAAGTAAATTACTTTCCTAGTTTTTTAAAATTAGTGCTAGCCGCATACCTAAATAAAAATTAAACTGATTCATAACAAATTTAAACTTGATAACAACAAATATAGAAACACAAACATCACATTTATATTTTATACATAACAAGCATAACTACACTAAAAGAAAAAAAATTCTTAACTACATTAGAAAAAACAAGTAAAAGTAATCACTTATACTTATAAAACAAAAGATATTAAAACTATTTTAAATGAAAACATTTAAATTATTTTTTGACACTTTATATACATTTTTGCTTTTGGGTTTATAAAAACTTAAAAAACATAAAATCTTTTTTTTTTATTACAAAGTAACCAGAGATGAAACTATTGTACCTACCTACAGTTAGTGTAATTACATATATGCAACCAAATTGTTAAATTTTAATAATAGACAGCAGTATTATATCTCCTTCTGAAGGTCTTATATAAAAAAATGCAATTCAAATGTAGACTCTTCCAGTACTAAATCTTTAATTTAGCACAAAATGATATACAAAAATCTACATGCATGTTTCATTAATTTTGCTAACATTAACTTTGTTTGAACAAACTAACACTTAAGATGAAATGTAATTTTAGTACAAAAGTTGTTTCTATACTCATATATATATATATATAAGTGACATAATTTTTTATTTAATCCTTATAACACTTTTTACGTTACGTTATGTCTCAAATGGTTCCACTTTTAAAGTATACATATATTTTAAATATATTTTTTATGTAACTTAGTGTCATGTTATGCCTCAATTAATTACAATTATAATCAATTAGTCCATTTTAAAATACACCTACATTTTAAAAGTGTAACCAATTGAGACATGAAACATAATAAATATTATAAAAATTAACTAAAAAAATAACATTTAATTTAATTAGGTTGTAACCAATCAAGAAAAATATTGTACATTAAAAATAAAACAATAACAATTGACATAAGTGCAAACTGTGATAAAAAATTGAAAATATAATTTTAGCATATTTACCAAAAAAATTTTTTTTTTTCAAAGAAAAACAAATTTTCAGCTCTGTTAACTTTTTGTTACATCAAAGTGTAAAATATATGATTAAAAAAATTATTTTTAAGAACTTTTAGTGTCATTTACATAAATGATACTAAAATACATTAGATATAACTTTATTTTCTTGTTCTCAATTTCAAAATATCTCCTTTCATAATCTCAATTCTTTAAATTGTATAAACCACTTACAAAATCATTAATGGAAACAGATTAACATCTTTACTAAACATTTTTTTTAATGCAGGTTTCCTATATACTTGAAATAAAATAGTTATTATTATAACTATTCCAACTTTGAATAAAGATTAAGCAAAAAATAAAGCAAACAAAATAAGTAGAAGATTTATAAAAGTTATTCTGATCAATCCATTTGTTGATCTAAGTATTAATAAAATAATGCACACCTCTAAGATTCTAATCTCATGACATAAAATGCAGGACTTGTAAGACAAGATGTAATACAAACTTTTAAAACTATATAAATCTTCAATACTCACTGATACTCAATATAAAAACTTTCGTTAACTTGGTCAATATTCCATAAATAAAATCCATCTTTATTTAATCCAGACAACTGCTTCCAATTAGTTGGATTAAAGATTAAAGAATGCAGAGGAGATTGAAGTTCAATAAAACATAACTCCTTTCCAATAATAAAATCCCTAAAAAAGAATATGTCTACAAATAATGAAATAAAAGTCAGTGTACAAAGGGTTGTACAACAGATGGTTAAAAGATGTAAAAAATAAACAACATTAAAAATACAGTAAATTTAAGCCAGCACTTTGAAGTGCAACCTTATTATAACATTAATTTTCATAAAATATTTTTATATAATTTAAAGTATATTTTATATAAAACTTGTATATAAAAGATGTCCAGCAAAGGTAATGTTTTTGTCCAACAAGTCCAGCAAAGGTAATGTTTTTGAAATAACCTTTTTTTCAAAACAACTTTCAAATTAACTAGGTAATTTTGTTTTAAACCTAATTTATTTTGTAACTAAAAAACAGACTAAAACCTTAGTTTTAGTCTGTTTTAGTCTCAAAGTGTCAAATCTACTTATATTTTTTTTAAATATATAATACTCCTTCATTCAAATTATACTTAATCTAATTTATGAATTTTTTCTTGAAAATATTTCAATACTTTCTTTTTTGTTAAAAGTTGAGAAAATATATTATACTTAATTGAACATTTGTTAAGTTAAAAAAATTCCATGATTCAAATTAAAAATTTGAATAAAAGAATTTAGCAACTCTTCTTAAAAACAGATCTTTTCCACCTGCATGCTATCATAAGAAGTATTATCATAAGTAAAAGTATTTATTTTTATCACTTGCTTGCTGTATTCTATACAATTGCTTATTGTTAAGATCTGTCTTGAAAATATAACAATTGCTAACAACTATAAAACAGGTAAATTCAACAGTTGCTAACAATTATAAAATATAACTACATAATGAAGAGGGTGGATATACAAACTTGTATAGTGTACTTAAGATGGTGGACATACAAACTTGTATAGTGTACTCAAGATGATGGACATACAAATTTGTATAGAGTACTCAAGATGATGGACATACAAATTTGTATAGTGTACTCCAGATGTGGACATACAAACATTGTGTATAATTTTTTAACCATATTTATATCTATTTTTATAGAATTTTAAAAGTTTGATTAATTGAATTAACTTTGCTAAGCTGCAATATTAACTTGAAAATCTCATTTTAGATTTGATTGTTTTATGACACTAAGATAATGTTCAAAATCAATTACTAATAAAATCTAAACTTGTTTTTTATCAGAACCATGCAACCCCTAAGTCATTTGAGGATTATTTTTGCCAATATGCATAACTTTGTATTTATCATATTTGAATTTCATTATTCAGATTGATGACTACTCAATAAGATAATTTAGATCTGCCTGCAGCTTTATAGGATGTTCAATTATATAGGGTTTATTATTTTTACTGCCAACTACATACAACTTTATATAGTTTTATAAAGACTATGAACAAAAATAGCCCTAAAACAGAACCCTTTTATTAATCTGACATGAGGCACACATGTTTTGGCAAAATCTAAATATAAGAAATCAAATGAGCAGTTTTTTTATTCTGTAATTAGATCTAAGGTTTCCAACAAATAAGAGTTTTTGTTTTTCCTAAACTCATGTTGATTTTCATTTAATACACTATTTTCAATAAAATGATTTATAACTACATCATGAACAATTGATTCAATAAGCTTACATGGAACTGACAATAAATATATTGATCTGTAATTAAGTGCATCATTTTTATAACCTTTTTTTAAAAAAAGATGAGATATTTGCACATTTCCATAATTGAAGTAATTTTTTTCTGTTAATGACTTTTAGTATAATAATGCTAATGATATGCTTACAGTTTTACAACACTTTTTTAATACAAATCAATTCCATCAACACCAATTGCTTTATCAAATTTTTTTCTATTGTATTACAAATAATTAAATCGTTTGTATCAATAAGTAAGGTGCTATTCATTTTATGTACTATATATGGAATGCTATTTGTATCTTATTTGCTTTTTGTCAAGCATTTGTAAAAGTTTGATAGTATTTATTTATTTGTCATTGTAAACAAATATTTTAGGTTGATAACTTATTCAAAATGATGTTTCTAAAATTTTCACATTCTATAATTGTATAACAATTTACCATAAGCTGATTTTGATTGATTATTCTGATTGTTTAATCAATATTTAAAATGTAATACATGATGTGCAGTATCAATAATGTCTAGGTGGATAATAAATTTTGCTTGTTATTTGTTATTAGGAGGATACATCCCACAATGTGAATAAACTATTTGTTGTAGACAATGAACTATTTGTTATTCATTCATAGGTGAATGCATCCATAGGTGGATAACAAATTATACTTGTTGTATGTTCATAAGTAGAAGCATCCATAGGTGGATAATGAATTAAGTTTTTAAATGTTCATAGATAGATGCTTTCATAAGTGGAATTATATGTTATATAATTCCACTTATGAAGGCATCTATATATATCATAGGTGGATGCGTTCATAGGTAGATAATGAATTATACTTGTTAAACGCTCATAGGTATATGTGTCTGTAGGTGAATAATGAGCTATATTTATTATATATTCAAATGTAGATGCCTTTATAGGTGCAGTTGTATTAATTCATTCTATTTAGAAAAATAAGTTCAATATATTACTAATTATTTAGTTTTGTTCTGATTCAAAGTGTTATCCAAACATTTGATTCAAAATGAATAAAATCTGATTCAAAGTGTTATCCAAACGTTGTTTGGATAACATTTTGAATCAGAATTTTTTTGCTTTATCTATAATCTTTTGAGCATGTTGATTAAAATTTGTTAGAGTTTGAATACCTTCTTTCCAATTTATATTAGAATAATTGTAAAATTATCCTAATATAAATTGGATAATTGATTATCTCCAGCAATTTTGAGACCAGAAAGAGAACTGTTATTGTTATACTTTTTCGCAGCAGTTAACACATTAATTTTATTTTTGTTAATTCTGACAAGTCAGAGGAGCAATAAATACATCCAAATAAAACTTGATAATTTTTTTTTATTATTTAAAAAAATCTTTGAAAAAAACTTTTTTAAACTTTGAAATTAACTTTTTTAAATAAGTACATCTCAAAAAATAATGAAATTTAACCATGTATTTAAACATTTTTTACCCTTAAAGAGCCATATATGTAAACATTTTTGACCCTTAAAAAATATTATTCCTTATAAAGAAAACAAAATTTTATCTTAAAAAGTTTGTAATACCAGAAAAATGATGTATTTTAAAAAAGTGAAGAAATTGTAGCAAAACAAAAAAGAAAATGCCATTAGATATCTGTTTCTTGCTTAACTTGGATGTTTGAAAAATAAATAAACAAATAATAATCTTTTTAACTAGACCCCCTGGGCCTTGACAAGTCTTAAGATTTTATAAACTTTTTTATTATGATTACATTAAACTATTACTTCACGAGAAGATCATTTAAAAGTTTTAAAAGAACTTTATTAGGATAGATTTGAAGTAAATATAATAACTGATTATTGTTGGATTAAACACATAGGTCATCAATACTTGCAAATAAAAAAAAAAAAAAATTGTTAAAAAAAAACAAAGTCTTAAATTTTTTTTTTTTTTTAAATAAAGAAAATCTGATCTACCATAATGATAATCTAATTTTTGGAATATTTGTACAAGATGCAATGATTCGGGCATTGTTAGCAAATGATAGGCTACTAAATCCAAGACCAATATTGTCTGAAAGCAAATGAAAAAAACATAATTTATAAATATTACCTAACATAATATTATGAATATACTGTTTTATGTAAAATTAAAAAATATTCAAACTTTTGAATGTTGAAACTGGGCTCTCTAGCGAAGTGATTTTGTAGACAAAAATTGAAGCATCTAAGCCATCTTCAGAAAATGCCACATACCCATATTCAGGATTTATAGCTAATGTTTGTATTCCATCACCAGGGGATTCCAGATACCAAACTAAATCATTTGTTATATCATGAAATTTTAAACTATTCAAACTCAGATAACATATAATATTTTGATCAATGAAATAGATGGGAGATCCATTGTATCCAACAGACCAACTAAAAAAAAAAGTGTATATACAAATATATATGTATGCATTTATATATATATATATATATATATATATATATATATATATATAATATATATATATATATATATAAATGTGTATATACATACATATATATATATATATATATATATATATATATATATATATATATATATATATATATATCCATATATATATCCATATATATATATATATATATATCCATATATATATATATATATATATATATATATATATATATATATATATAATATATATATATATATCCATATATATATATATATATCCATATATATATATATATATATATATATATATATATATATATATATATATATATATATATAATATATATCCATATATATATACATACCTATATAAATATATATATATATATATATATATATATATATAATATATATATATATAAATCTGTATATACATATATATATATATATATATATCCATATGTATATCTATATATATATACATAGATATATATATATATATATATATATATATATATATGGATATATATATATATATGGATATATATATATATATATATATATATATATATATATATATATATATATATATATATATATATGGATATATATATATATATATATATATGGATATATATATATATATATATATATATATATATATATATGGATATATATATATATATATATATATATATATATATATATATATATATATATGGATATATATATATATATATATATATATATATATATATATATATATATATATATATATATATATATATATATATTATAGATATATATATATATATATATATATATATATATATATATATATATATATATATATATATATATATATATATATATGTATGTATATACACATTTATATATATATATATATATATATATATATATATATATATATATATCCATATATATGTATATATATATGGATATATGGATATATATATATATATATATATATATATATCAGGGTGTTAACCAGGAATAAACTTTAAACAGCGTTTTAACGAAATTGGAAATTTGTCAAAATCCTGTCACCACCCCCCCACCTCCTCTCCGTTGAGATTAAAATGTGTTACGGGAATGCGTGAGGTTTTTTCCCTATATTCTTTTTTATTTCTACTCCACTTCAGCGCTGCATACATTTGTTAAACAACGCCAAAAATAAAGCAAAATACCGTCTTGTAACATTGAAGATGAAAATAAAATCAACACAAAATTAAACATGGTTTCATATCGGCACAGCAAATTAAGGTCCGATTTCCAAATATATATTAGGAACTTTATATTTTTCTATAATAAAATAATGAGTGTATATTAAATAATAATTATTAAGAATAATATAATTAATTTATTTTTAATCTTAATACATCTTTGCTGCTTTCATTTCAAGAAATAAAAGCGAAAGAAAGCCAATGATCTTCTACTTCTAATTATTATTTAAATTCTTTTTGACTGATCAAGAATCTTTTTTCAAAATTAAATTTGCTATTTAGGAAAAAAAGTTATGAATTAAAAACGGAAACTGAGTGTTGCAGGGTTGAATGAAATACGCTAATAAATAAATAAATACAAAGCAATAGCTTATTTCTTAAAAGCGGCTTTTTTTTATTAGTTCTTAAGTGACCAATAAATCTCTAACTATAAATTTTTTGTATAAATTTCAATGAACGAATTTTTCTAACTGAATTTAAATGACTTTTACTTACTCTTTTTATAAAATTCTTTTTTTTAATCGATCAGTCAAAGTTGCAAATTTCTAATACATTTGAAACACTGAGATCTGAACCTGAGCCTTCATCATCTCAACAACCAGAATCTATGATAGTGCCATCACCAAATCTAGCACCAGGAACTACACTACCTCAGCATCAGCATATGTCACATAGCATCAGCTCCAGAATCATCTCCAGAATCATCATCTCAAAAGTCACCTTGTCTGCAAACAACCTTCAATATTTTAGTAACTCTATTCAAAAGGAAATTCAAAAAAAGGTTGCAAAACAACTGCAATCAGCCCAATCACTTGAATCACCTTTGCAACAAATGTTTCGTATCCAACACGTTGACACAAAAAAAAGAAAAAATGTAGATGTGCCAAGATTCGAAGGGGAGTGTCTCAAAAAACCTCAAATGCTTGAAATGTTGAAAGATGCTGAGAGCAAAAAAGCAGCAAAGCAAGCTAAAAAACAACCTAAGCTTAGCTCTATTGGAGAACAGCAAATAAACCGAGCAACAAATCCAACGAAAATATTAGCTGCAAACCAATTCAAATGTAAAAAGTGTGGAAAAGTTTTGGGTGAAACTTCAGCAAGTCAAATTATGGAATGGTACCAGTATGAAAATTCAAATTGCAAGGTTTGGCTTTGTCAAACATGCATACCAAAGCAATACATAAAAGGCGAGTTTATTATTATTAGAGTTTTATTGCACCAAAAAGTGCTGCACAAGTGAAAACTTAACTCAACCTATAATACCTCTAAACAACTCAACATCATCACAAGAATAAAAAAACTTCCTTTATTTGATTGATTTTTTTAATTGTTATTATTGATTGTTTTTTTAATTGTTATTATTGATTGCTTTTTAGTTTTTTTATCAAAGTGTTGTTTTAATTACACTTATATTTGGGGATTTCATTCTCCTCTAATGTCAGTGTAAAATGGAATAAAAATTTTTCTAACCAAATGAAGTTTCATAAAAACTTTACAAAAAAGTTGTTAAAACTTTATATATTAAAATACAGCTCAATATTCTCTACAACTTTTTTTTTTAAAAAGAAATCTATTTTCCATAAAAAAATTAATAATTAAAATCCTTAACTATACCATTTGACCCCATTTTACTCTATTCATTGTTTTATTTTCAAAACATAAGTTAAAAATTTTCATGAGTTCATGGAGAAAAAAACTTAAAAACTAACTGTATTTTGTAGATGGTTTTTGAAAATGTTATTACACAAAAATTACACTTTTGAAAATGTTATTACGAAAAAACAGTTTTGCCCCTATTGTGAGGCACAACTGCACCCACCCAAAAAGCGTTGGGGGTACACTTTTCTTTGTACATTTTCTTTACAATTGTCACAGCTCAGATTTTTTGCTGATTTTGTACATTTATAAAAATTAAATAAAAAATTCTGAAATCTTATTTCCAACATCTCACAACAAAACTATTTCTATTTAAGTTTTTATATGAACGCATTCAAATGTGACAATTGTAATTATTTTTATTCGTAATAACCTAACTTAGATAAATATCAAAAGTATGCGGTTGTGTCTCCTGTGCGTCTTTGTAGTTCTGCCCCAGAGGACAGTTTATAGAAAGAATACAATTTCATAGCTTGGTTATTAGGTTATGTTGGTATCAAAAATGGTTTTCACTTGATGAAATAATGCTAATAACACATATCTTTAATAGTAAAATCAAATATTGCTTAATCCTCAAAATAAAGGTCTGGAAAAATATGATGTAAATATATTTTTATCAAAATAAATATTATTATGCACAACTTCTCAGAAAAGTAAAAAGTACTCTTTTTGACATATGCAAAATGAAGGAAACTGTTTTACTAACATGTGGTTGTTTTTTTTTGCCATATAAGATAACAGTTGTGCCTCCATATGCAGTTATGCCTCTACATGTGGTTGTGCCTCCACTTCCCCTATATCAAAACAATTGCAATGATTAAGCTAAAAAACAGATTATATATTGACAAATTTGTTTTTTCATAATACTTTGTTAAATTCCTTTTAACAACCTAATATACTAGCTGCAATTTCAAATGATCAACCTCTGTACTAATTTTATTTTGTACTTATTGCATAAGTATACCCAAAACTTGGTCTTTCAATGTTATCTAAATGTTTTTTCATTTCTAAAAACACCTAAAAATCTACTAATAATAGACTATCATTATAGTACAAGACAACACCAAAAATTATCAGCATTATGACAAAATGTTGAGTTAACAAAAATATTATAGTTGCCAAATAATTGACTTTGTTGACTGTGCTTAAAGGATATTTTAAATCGTTTAAGGAATAACCTCTGCAAAAATGATCTGATAAGAACTTTTATTGAGCAGCGTTTGTCTTTACTCCCACATAAATATTTACAATAAAAAATTAATAGAAATTCGTCAATTTATAAATACACAATATAATGTAATTTATATAGAGTATGAAATCGAGCATATGAAACTTGTTATCAAGAGATACAAACATGATCAATGTATTCTTTTTTGGACCCCTATACTATTTATTTTATTTTCAAATGTAAATTTTGACATTTGAATTTCCTTTTTTTTTCATATATAAAACTCTAAGTTTATTCATAATAAACAAAACATATGCAACAACAAACAGAGTAGTGAGATGTACTAGCAAGCTGTCTCAAAGAAGCTGCTTTTTTGTGCTTATAAAAGTTAATAATAATATGTAATCGATAACACACAATACATTTTCTATAAACATAAAACAAAATTTAAAGACTTATATTAAACAAACTATTATATAAATCACATAAAGATTTGGAACTCACTTTAAAGCTAGATTGCCAAATTGATCCATTGTACACTTTAATTTGATAAAATTTATTCAAATCTGAATAAAAATAGGAATTAAAAAAATTGGTACTAATTAAATAAATTAGATTATTAGACTTCATAAAATGAGATGTGTTAGTATGCTTGTGTGCGGACATGCGCGCGTGTATATGTGTGTGTGTGTGTGTGTGTGTGTGTGTGTGTGTGTGTGTGTGTGTGTGTGTGTGTGTGTGTGTGTGTGTGTGTGTGTGTGTGTGTACGTGCAGGTGTGTGTGTTAAAGATTTTAGTAACTTATTTATATAAGTTACTAAAATCTTTAACACACACACAAATAGTGTCAGTATTCTTTATAGAATACTGACACCATTTTTTCAGTTTAAAAGTTTAGGTAGGTAAAAACTTAAATAAGTATGTAAAAATTTAAATAAGTATGTAAAAATTTAAATAAGTATGTAAAAATATAAATAAGTATGTAAAAATAAGGTATAAAAGTTAATTAAACATCAAAACAGTACAAGAAATTGTCATTAACTTTTTGTAAGATAAGGAAATTTCCTTTTTGAATTCTATTATTTTTAGGCCATTTTTGTTGTTTTTGACCATGTTTGTTATCTTAACCGGCATAGTAACTATTTTGTTTATCGCGCTATTAGGGATTGCGGCTGATCGAACAGCTAGTCAGAGAGTCGTGACTGTAAATTAAAAAATTATTTCATATATATGGAATATGGATGACTTATCGCCAAACCAGCCTTTACAAAAAATATTTTGAAATGAGATAAATAGACGCAAAGTTTAAAAGCTTTAAACAAAAGCCTTTAAACAAAAAAGTTATGAGTAATTGCAATTCAGTACACTTAAAAATTTAAAGTATAGCATATTGGCGTTTGCAAAGAAACACTACATAAATTATTTTTTAATATAAAGTTTATATTATAAACTAATTTTTTTTAAAACTTTTTGTGTAGGCTGGTTTGGCGCTTAACCATCCATATAAACAGGGGGGTTTTAAATATATATTTAACCCCCCCCCCCTGTATTAGGCAAATTTTTAAAAATAGCCAACTGCAAAAAAAAAATAAAAAAAGGTCTTAATACTAAAAATCTGCCGACTGAAATGTGTCAAATACCGATGATACCGTAATATACCGTAAAACCGCCTAAGTTCGGTCACCAAGTAACTACGATCATTAAAATTTATTCAGTAATAAAATAAATGATCAAATTTAATCTTAGTATTATTAAGAATCGCCAAATTAATTATAACTATAAAAAAAATATTATTTTTTGAATATTAACTACCTTAAATCTTAAATGAATATTAACTATCTGAAAATTAGTGAATTTTTGAAACACTACAACTTCGCTCATTCATGGATAAACAACGAAGGAGACAATTTGCAGTAATGTAATGAAGTGTTGTAAAAAAACGAGCAAGTAAAATTTATCGGTAACTTTACCTGTAAATTTACCGGTAAATTTTGGCATTTTTATAATAGATACTCACTATGGTAACTTGCTTAAATATAGAATTTGTTTATAATTTCAAAATTAACCTGTTTTAAAATAAAATTTATCTGTCAATTTTCAGGTAAATTTTTATTTTAAAATTTGCTGTTAAATTTACATTATTGGTTAAACTAATTACAAATTAATTATATGTATTGCAACGCACTGAAATAGTTTTTTTGCAAGTTATTATATTTATGTAATCTATGGATTAAAGTGAGAAACCACGGATGGCTCGTGGTTAGAAGGCTATGGATTAAAGTGAGAAACCATGGACGGCTCGTAGTTAGAAGGCTATGGATAAAGGTATGAGCAAGAGGAAAGCAGCTATAACATTTGATTTTAAAAGACCAACTTTCATCGGCAGAAGTAATAGCAAACCGTACTAAAAAAACGGCAAACTAACTAAGTTGAGCAACAACATCGAGGACATTTTAATAGTTTTAATATTATTAAGTGATTTTGGTTTTAGTTTGACTAGACTTGAAATACTGTCTATTGTTAATAATAACTTGTTTAATTTAAATCAAATGAGTTTTAATGGCGACAAAGTTACACTTGCCTGGTATTATTCATTTATTAGGCGCTATTGTGTAAAGTTATCGCTCACAACTTTAAGTAAAATTTTTTCAAACATTTTGACTCAGCCAGGCACTATTGATCAAATGCGTTTATTAAAATTGCTCATATATAAATATATTTTATAACAAACTATTTTTTTATTTAAAAAAGGCAAAATTCAATTTGTTTGTAATGTTTAAAAAATATCCCTTTTTTATAAACTGCTTACCTTTATACCATTTTAATGACCTTATAATTTTTTCTAATACTTTATAATTTTTTTAAATTATTTAATTAAGGTTTGCAAAAGTTTCTGATATGTACAATATGCATGTATTCAGAATTAAACCATTCCACATTTTTAATTGCGATGAATCTAGTCTTGTGACCAATATGATCTGGTCAGTGTGACCTATGCAAATTTAAGGTGGTTGATCAAAAAGGTTTAAAAGAGCCTAAGAAAATTCAAGTTTAAAAGCAAAAGAAACTTAAAAGCAGTAGCTACAAAAAGACTTTAGCAAAACACTCGTTTGCTGTAATGCTTTTGGGACATTCTTGTCTGTTCATGTTTTATTCCAAGGTCAAAGGTAGAAATTTTAATGATGAATTTGGGTATTTATTTTAAGAAGCATTTATAAAAGATGTGCAAATAATCCGAAAACTCCGAGTTTTTAAACTACTATTTAATCATTTGAATTTTTAGATTGATATTTTATTGGCTTCTAACTCAGGACGGGTCAATCGGTGTTACCTATGCTGGATGGTTTAAAAAAACAATTGTTCCGCATTGCTTCAAGCTTGAAGATTTCAAAGTTTTTTTTCTAGACGGCCATGCCTCGCATGTAACGCAGGAACTATTTCTTCTAAAAGAGAAAAAGTAGCCTTAAAATAATAATACTCTTCTAAAAGAGAAGAGTATTATTATTTTAAGGCTACCGGCTCATCTCACGTGCTACAGCTACTTGATGTAGGCATATTCAGGACAGTGAAAAGTAAATGGCTCGGAATCTTAAACAAACATTTTATTCAAAAGAATAAAAATATTTTATTAAAAACGGTTTCAAAAATCTTACAAAATCTAGCTACCTTGGGTTGCTTATTGACCAAAGCTTCTTCTGCAAAAATTTGAGTTCCAGCTTCGAAACAACAGGTATTTTTTAAATGAGTCAGAAAAAAATAACCAACACTGTCATACTAGTCACTAAAATTCCATAAATTCTTTCAAGAATACAAAACCATAAAACTTAAATTGAACAAATTTCTTCCAGCTTATTAAAGTCTTTCCATGAGATGCCTTAACTTTCCTTAACTTTCCTTCTACCTATTTGTTCCTTAACCTAATAAAGGTATTATTTAAAAAAAAAATTGTAGTAGGATGATTCTGAGTACTGCCGAATTTGATATAAAGATTTGCGTTTTTATGCTAAAATATAGCCCAAAAAAAAGTGAGTATAAGGAAGTAAGAGGAGATGGTAAATATTTTTAACTCAACTCTAAACATTTAAGAAGTTTTTTAATTATCAGAAATATATTTTACTTTTAAAAATTGGCTTTTGATAAGAGCTTAATTAGAAAAAAGTTGCTTTTTATTATGATAATCAATAAGCAGGCCAAAAAACAAAAGATTTAGACAAGACTTTTCTTTATTGATATAGGGCAGGCAAAAAAACAAAAATTTGCACGTTTGCAAAAAAACATGATCATTTACACATAAGAATATAAACAATTAAAAAAAAAAAAAAAAAACATTTTTGAGAGCTGCCGAATTTGATTTGATTATTTTCGTTTTTAGTCTAAAATATGTCAAAATTTGGATTTTATAGGAAAGTCCAAAAAGATTGAGATTTTTATAAGAAATTTTTGTTGTGTGAACTTTTTCTTAGTAAAATAACTGTCTTGTTACTCATAAAAGAGGCTTATAAATTATTTGTATTGTGCTAAATCAACAAATAATTTTTGACCACTTTAAAAAATATTATCCGTTGATTGTTTGAACAAATAATTTTTCTTTTTAAAATTGTTTTTTTATTCATTCATTCTTTCACTATTACATGAGATGCAATTGTTAAAATAGTTTGAATTTATATTATTAAGGTATATGGCTAATATAAACCACTACCGGTTGGGTTGTGGTATAATAATAGAGAGCTCCTTTTTTTTTTTTTAAGTTGATTAAGGTGCCCCAAGAAGTCCATACGGTCTTATCACAGAGCACCGCGGAAGAGCATTTATTGGGAAGTTCACGCCTCCTTCCCAACCGATGTCGCAAGACTTGCCCAGAGGTGGGGTTTGAACCACGGATCTTACGTTTCTGAGGCAAGTGCGCTACCACTGCGCCACGGCTGCTTTTAAGCAAAAGGATTCTGAGTTCCAACCCATTACGTCCCTGGTTATACGGCACTCAACCTATTTCTCCAGGAAGCAATCGTGTTTTTCAAGGTTTGTGTTTTAAAGTTAAATCGTTGCGAGAGGGTTATAATTACAGTTTTTTTAAAAAAAAGTAGTTTCCTTGACGTAGTGGCTTCCTCGGCCTTGGGGAGACGAATTCATTAAATGAAAAAATTATATATAAAAGTATGTAAAACGTGTTAATTTTTAAAATAAATGGAAAAATTAAATAATTATTGGAACAATAAATTTTTAATTACATTATTAGGTAATTTAATCTATAAAAAATTTTTGTTTTACCTTTTACTTTTTAAGAAGTGCTCGAAAAGGAAAAAAATTTATCAGGTGCATCTTGATAAGCAGAAAAGTATAGATATCAAGAAGTACCAAACGTTAGTTTATGCAAGTATCAAATTGAAATGATGGTAGAAGCTTAACCGTACGCTAACCTTAAACTTTTAAATGCATTGTATTGCAAGGTTATTCTATTGAAATAAAAATATTTGGAAATATAAAACTTATTGTTACAATGACTGTGTATTTATAGTTTAAAATATTGGACATTCAATTTTATATCACCCATGCAATTTTTTTACGTAGGCAAACATCACCCCTCTTCATCTTTTTCTTCCTGACTTGTTTTACTTTAAAATCTTTAAACTAAAATCTTACATTTGTCTCCCAAAAGTCTCTGAGTTAAAATCTTGCGTTTATTTAAAGTTTTGGTAATTTATAAAAATAAATGTTAAAAAACAAACAAAATGAACCAAAAGTAGCATTACAAAAAGCAATGGCAAAGAAACAGCTACATTAGCCGTTTTTCGAACGGCTGCCATGCATGGACCATGTCTTAAACGGTGAGCAAGACTTGGATTGGACCAATGGTGGGCCAGTAATGAAGCCGATGGTGGGTCATACATCGGCCAAGCATGACGAGTTTGCTGAGACTCTGTTGACTAAACAATTAAAAAACTTACAGAAGTTAATAATGGTTCATTAGAAAGCGTTTTATTGTTGTTATATGATTAAAAATTAGTGATGTAAATTTTCCGGTAAAATTTGATTCAAAATTTACCAGTAAATTTTAAATCGAAGAGGGTAAATTTTCCTGAAATAAATATAATTTTTTTTAAGAAGAATAAAAATAAGTAAAAAATTATTTCAAAATTTACCAGGCGGTAGATTTTCAAAATTTTCCTGTAAATTTACCGGAAAATTTTCCGTTAATTTTTACCTCCTTCTAAAGTAGAAGGCCCGCTCATACGAAACATAACGTTAGTAGTCCATTGATATTTGTCTTGTTTTAAAAAGATTTATTTTTTTTATAAACTTTTGCAAAATAAATTTTTTTATATTTCGTTCAATTTTAAATTATCTGATTACAAAAAAAAAAGTGAATGAAAAAAATAATAATAATAACAATCACATTTATTTTTAAAGTAACTTTTTAATTTTTTTACAAGTTAGTTTTTTTTACATTCATTTTTAAAAAATATATTAAAAGTCTCATTAAGACTAATAAATTCTTATTTTTTATTATTAAAGTAACTTTAGCAATATTCTTAAATAATAATTTATGAAAGTTGCCAGCTTCCTTAATACTTTTGGAACTTTTTTATACTATTTTTTTCTACATTTTGAAGGTTATCAGCTTTTTTAAAAAGAGCTGATAACCTTCAAGAAACTCTTAATTGAAAAAGAAATTAGGATTTGTTTGTGCTTTGACATCGACAAATACTTGGATTCACATTTAGAAGGTAGCAAAGAATAAAAAGATTAAAAAAAAAACTTTTTTTTTATTTTTTAACAAACTTTTTGTTGCAACTAAAAACAGAATTCTGTTTTTAGCTGCAATTATCAATAAAAACATCTTCAGAATTGTTTGTGGATTCAATTGCATTGACACAATTTCATCCAGAAATTAAGTCTAGGAATAATATACTGACATGTTTAGTAGAAAAAATGTTTTAAAGAACTAATGATTTTTTTTTCTGATTCTCTTATTTCTTTTCGTTTCATTGTATCAATACAAACAATAAATGTATGAATGAGACATTTTTTTCACACAGCAGTTTTATTTGATGGTACTAAATTTTCTCGAGGAATTTGACGAATTTTTTTTTTTTTTTTTTTTTTTTTTTTTTTTGTTGTCTTTTATCAAAGCTTTACAAATACGTGATCATAAATATAAACTAGTTCGTTTACATTGTATAAAAAAAAAATACCGTACATATAATAAGAAAACTTTTTTTATTACAAATAATAATATATATAAAAAAGTAACACTGTTAAAAGACGCGGGAAACTTGCAGAAGACCATTTTGGTCTTGTCATCAAGAAACCGCTTTTAGTTGCGATATTTTGTATACTTAATTTATTAAGAAATTTCAGTTTGTCAAAGTCTCATGGTGGCATAAGAGTCACACATAAAAAGCTACTAGATAATCAAAAACAAAAAACGGAAAAAAGCTGTATTTGATACACATAAATATATAGTTACATGGTTTGTTATACTTAGTATATTGACATGTACGAAATATAAATAAAATCTAACATTTACTTTGCTTTAAAGTGGATTTTTTAGGGGTTTTTAGTTATTTGTTTTAATATACGTTTGTAAAATTGTTTAATTGTTAGTAAAATTGTTTTCCATTTCATCCAATTCATCTTTGGAATTTCATGAATCCATTTCATCCAATTCATCTTTGGAATTTCATTTTTTTCTTTCATCGGTTGGAAATTTAAAAACACTAACTATTTCACACTTTAATAAAATTAATAAAAATGTACTAAATTCATAATAAACTGGATTTGAAAATCTGAAAACTAAATTAAATTTAACATCGGACTACTAAAGTGACGTCACAAGAGTATTTTAATTCCAAGAGCGGGGCTTCTACTTCAGAAGGCCTTGCTTCGTAACACTATTAGAAATATCTCGGAGTCCCGGAGTACCATAAATATTTACGACGGGTGGTACTCCAGGTCTCCGGGTAAAAATAGGGACCGCTACCAGGTGTATTACGATTTCAATGATATATATCTTTGATACTATTTGATATGAACAAAATATGGCTTTTGAACGAACCATAAAATAATAGTCATTTACATTAATTATGAGAATTTATAAAAAAGAGAATATCAATTTTGCGAATCATTCGAAAGAGGAAATTAGAAATGTCTCCAGAAACTATTTAAAATTTTTTTTTTTAATTCTTAAAAAAATTTTTAAAAATTAGTACACCTCTTTTAATAATATTAAAGAAGGTGTACAAAGTATGGCTTTTATATATTTAAAAGCCATATTTTGTACACCTCTTAAAATATAAAAATTTTAAGAATTTTTTTGAGAAAGTTTAAAATAATTTCTGGAGACATTCCTAAATTCGTCTTTCAAATGATTAGCAAAATTGATATTCTCTTTTTTATAAGTTCTTATAGTTAATGTAAATGACTATTATTTTATGGTTCATTCAAAAGCTATACCCTTCATACAACTAAATGAAAATTCATTTAAAATTCAATTCACTAAGTTGCGTGGTCACCGCAGTGGTTATCATAATAAATTTACAAATAATTCTAAAACAGAAATATATATATATATATATATATATATATATATATATATATATATATATATATATATATATATATATATATATATATATATATATAAATATATATATATATATATATATATATAAATATATATATATATATATATTTATATATATATATATATATATATATATATAAATATATACATATATATATATATATATATATATATATATATATATATATATATATATATATATATATATATATATATATATATATATATATATATATATATATATATATATATATATATATATATATATATATATATATATATATATATATATATATATATAATTTAAAAAATAATGTTAAATTGAATAACTTTTTTAAATATTATAAATAAAAAAATATATTCATTTTAAATCATGATAAATAAATGTTAATAATGGTGTTGTTTAGTTTTTGCGCTTTTTTTAATTTTATAGTTATAAAATGTTATGAATTAGACATAAAAAATCAACAATTAGTTAATTTTTAACAAAACTGTTTAAACTTCTTGTTTGTTTTTCTAGATAGTATAAAAAATTGGAAGATTTTAACAGTTTGATAATATGTTTTTTTTTAAATTTTAATCAAATTGATTTCATTACTTTTATGAAATCTGACTACATTATGGATTACATGAATGGCGCTAATGATAGAAATTTAAAAGTTTCAAAAACATCTACTGATCATAATGAAAACAAAAAACTTTCAGCTTTAAATTCCTTCAATGATCATGTCAATACTGAAAGTGATAAATTTTTATTAAAAGATTCCTTCCATTTACCAAAAGAGATTTCACATTTTTCGAACGAGACATCACAGTTAGACAATAAGTTTGGAATGTCAGATAGCATATACAGTGAAAAAAAAGATTTAAGCAGTTCAAGTAGTATTTTAGACAAGTTTTATAATACATATGGGAACTATTTGAACAACAATAGTAATAACAAAAGTGATCAAATTCCTCAAAATAACATTAAATTAAAAAACCCTGACGATGAGCACAAAAACACTGGAGAATCTTTTAAAAACATAAACAATGATTTCTTAAAGAGTAGCATAAAAATTACGTCTTTAAATGAAAGCTCACAATCTAATATACATGATATGAAATTTAAAAGCAATGAAGATAAATATCATAGTTTTAATGAAAATAAACACAAAAAATCAAATGAAAACTTGAATATTCTAGAAAAACATGATTCTATTATCAAAGAGCATTTTTCAAATTCTGACCGGTTTAAGTACGATGGCAACAAAACCCATGATTTAGATACAAACAAACACAAAAAATCAAATGAAAACTTGAATATTCTAGAAAAACATGACTCTATTATCAAAGAGCATTTTTCAAGTTCTGACCGGTTTAAGTACAATGGCAACAAAACCCATGATTTAGATGCAAACAAACACAAAAAATCAAATGAACACCTAAATGTTTTGGAACATAATAGATTTTTAAATAAAAATGATATTCCAGTTGTTGAAAAACATGATTCTACAGTTAAAAAACAGTTTTCACAAGATTCAGTTAACGAACAGTTTCAACACAAGAGCAACAAAAACCATGGTTTTGATGAAAATAAACACAAAAAATCAAATGAGCACTTGAATGTTTTAGAAAATAATAGATTTTTAAATAAAAATGATATTTTGATTGTTGAGAAACATGATTCTAAGATTAAAAAGCAGTTGTCACAAGATTCAATCAATGAGCAGTTTAAACACAAGAGTAACAAAGGCCATGGTTTTGATGAAAATAAACACAAAAAATCAAATGAGCACCTGGATGTTCTGGAAAAAGATAGAATTGTAAATAAAAATGAAGATGTAGAAAACCATTCTCTGATTAAAAAACACTCCTCACCGATTTCAACTGATAATCAGTTTAAACACAATAAAAGCCATGATTCCAGAGAAAAAGGAAAAAGCAATTTAAATCATAGTTTCAATGAAAATTTAAAAACTAGGTCTTATGAAAAACTTGATCAAAGTTATGAAGAACATAAACTAAATGATGGTTCTACTTTTAACAATGAAGATCCTCAAGTTGATGCACTATTTGAATCATCACAAATCTCTGCTAGAGGTCTTAAAGCAAGAAAAGATTTTACTAAGAATACACCTCTTAAGAATAATAATAGACGTGTAGAGAAAAAAAGTAACTCTTCAGACAAGATCGATGAGGATAGTTTTAGTAATAAAAGTAATGAGCAATATAAAAAAGAAACTGGATTATCAAGACAAGATAGCAAATTAACTCATAAGTCAATTTTGAAAGATGATTCCTTCAGTAAAAAAAATTCAACAAGTACTAAAAAAGAAACAGAAAGAGGATTTAATAAAGAAAATGAACAAAACAAAAGATATAAAGGAGAGAAAAAAAGTGTTTTAAATAATGTTGAAAATGAAAATGATGATGTTTCTGTTTCACAGTACATAAAAACTGTAAAGAAATCTGATGATATACAAAAAGAAGAGCTTAGCAAAAATTCAAAAATAAAAAATGCAGGTACCCAATTTTATAGCTAAATAATTTTTTTACTAAACACTTGAGTTAATACCCAGGTATCCACTGTGTTGAATTTGTTTGAATAAAACTGAAAAAAAATTTAAATTGCATCATTTATTAGATAAAAAGTTATTAATATGTAACTTTTTTGTCAAAAAATATTTAATAGAAAATATAAAAGTATCAATTTTAACTTTACCTATTATTGGTAGGGATGTATTGTTTATTTCTTTTTATTGTGACAATGATAAGATTCCATAAAAGCAAGTGTTTTGCAATAACAAGAGTTGTATAAATATTGTCTATGCAAATGTTTTTTCTGCTCCTTTCATTACGGAGTTGCTTATCCTTTATCTACTCTTCTTGATTTTTTCCTTCGGTGTCATTTTATATATATTTATTTGATACCATATGTTGGTAGTTTTTATGGTATATTTGGGTAAATCTTGCATGACCTCGAAAATGATATAGTTGTTAATTGATAGTTAAATTTTCTATAGACTCATACATCTGGGACAAATTTGCATTTAACATTGTCCACAAATTATGAATTGGAGCTGCCTTATATTCTTTCTTATGTTTTAAAAAACAAAAAATGTTGTGGAATCAATTAAGACTAGTTGTCGCATGATAAAGTAGATATGGAATGTCACATATCAAAAGTATGATCAGTAATAGAATTAATAGTGCTAGTATATATTAAAATACCAAAGAATGAATAAATTTCTGGTATGTTAACAGGCTTTTGGTATTGCTGCAAATTTAGATGGTCTGCATTGCAATTTGCTTAGGTAAATAAAGCTTACTCATTTTTGTGTCAGACAATAATATCTACAATATTTTTAAAGTTTTTAATATTAAGAGCATTATGTGCTATGATGAGGACTGTATTGCTGTCATAAAACATTGTGAGCTCCAACCTAATGTTGATTTGTTGGAGTTTCTTTTAGCACATTTTTGTCATTTGCATTAACACTGCTGATTACTGAACTGGCTCTGCAGTTCAATAATCAGAAGTGTTAATTTTTTGCTTCATCTTTTTAGTCATTCTCACTACTTCATTCTCACTCTCAAACTTTTCTGCTGCACTTGTCCTGAAGAATAAATTGGTGTATTATTTTATTTATTACATTTATTTATTTATTACATTTAATTTAAGTCATGTCATAACTATATAAAAATACTTTTTAAATATTTACAGTTATTGCATATACATATAAAATATATTTACCAAATAAATTCAACTCTAATCACTTTTTCCATTTACTTTTATTTTTTATTTTTTACTTCATATAACCAACATGTCTGAAATGCTTATAAACTCAAACTCTAAACTGAACTGCTCATTGTGAAAAAATAAAAATAATTTGAAAAAAAGGCAATGAAAAAGGGTTATTCCATATCAGTTCAACCAAATTCAAATTTTAAGACTTGTTATCTTAGATTTAGATGATATAAATAAATGAAAAATCACTCCAAATTTTAGTGTCCAACTCCTTACAGTTTTAGTTTTACTCAGTCCCAATTTCTTTTTGACTGTTTTTTTTCAACACCATTGATTTTTTACTAACTTAAGCAATACTTGTTTAATGGTGATAATAAAAGAAAAATTTACCTAAGTATTTTTAACGTGAGGAACTCAAATAATTTTGTTTAAAACACCTCAAAAATCAAAGTTTCTAAGTGAAATTTTAATTTTGAAATGTTGCAATCCTTTTCTTGAGTTTTCTGACACCCTGTTTAAAAAATTTATTCTACGGTTCTCTATGTAATCAACTCCATAATAAAAAAAATTTGCATGGTTTTTTTTTATTTAAATCTGATTTATTTGCATTGAAAAATATAAATATATATATATGAAAATTAACTAAAACTTATAAAATTTTTTTTTAAAAAGATCTGTAAAACTGTAAAAATAAACTGCAGTATCTCAGTTCTAATATATAAACATTTTTATTCAAAGATATCTTTGTTTTATACAAAGTTTATGTTTAATAGCTCAAGATTGTCTATTTATAAAATTTCAAATTATTTTTTTTTTTTTTTTTGCTGAGTTAAAAATTAAAATGGTGATATGAGTGGTAAAGAGAGATTCAATTGGTTTAAACAAAGAAATTTGATAGAAACATATGTGAAATCTAAAGTCAAAAAAGTTTCTAGTATTAATGATCTAAAAAAAAGATAATTAGTTGTTCTAAGATTATAAATATGCAATGGTTTTTCCACACCATGAATATGTTTGCTTAAGGCGTTACTCTACAATTTGCATAACTTGTTGTGATTTATTTAATTTACACAATGGTAAAATAAGAAAAGGTATTTAACCACAAACTGTTTTGAAAATATAAGTTTTATAATTATAAGTAGTCATATATTTTTAAAATATTTACTGAAGCATATATCCTTGATATTTGAAGTTTTAATTATCATTTATGTTTTTAGGAGGATGTATATTCACTGAAGCATATATCTTTGATATTTGAAGTTTTAATTATCATTTGTGTTTTTAGGAGGATGTATATTCACTGAAGCATATATCCTTGATATTTGAAGTTTTAATTATCATTTGTGTTTTTAGGAGGACATAAGGAAATAATCTTTAACTAGCTAGAGATTTATAAAAACATTGGTATTAGTTTTATTCCTGGATGAAAGACATGCCCTTCATGTAAGATTAAAATAATATCATTTAAGGATGATTGACCAGGAAAACTAACTTGCAGTTGGACATATGAAGATGATGATAATGAACTTAATATAAACAAGTTTTTAAATAAAATGGTTATTTTTCTTTGATCTCTATGAATATAAGTACTCTTAAAATGCATGTTGTAACTATTCACTCAAGAGATGCTCTTGGTAAAAAGAAATTATTACAAATTCAACAAACTGTAAAAGTGGAAATCACAAGTACTTTTTAGATATAGATTCTGATAAATTAAGCCGAGAAGATTTCCCTAATAATTTATGTAAAGGAGTTAAATTTTTTTTTTTTTTTAAATTTGCGTTCACTCCCAACAAGGCTGCAAGCAACCACTATTAAGTTGGGAGTTACTAGGAAAAAAAGAACAGAGTTATAGAGCAAGGAAACGGTTGACAGAAGACTTGAAAAGTTGAAGGTTGTATGAGTCAGGAAAACATGAAGATGGGAGAGAGTTCCAAAGGATTGAAGTGCGGGGAAAAAAAATAGATCAATAAAAGTTTTTAGAGCATGCAGGGACAGATACAGTAAACAAATGAGACTTAGCTGAATGACGAGTAAAACGAGAATGAATTTTAGTTGATGGAACTAGAGATTATAACTCCTTTGAACAGTGACCATGATAGTATTTGTAGAAAAGAGAAAGAGATGCAACTTTATGACGATGGGAAAGAGGTTCAAGCTTAGTAGATAGTCCAGGTCCAACAACATTTACAATGCGTTTTTGGACCTTGTCAAGAAGAGAAAGTGCATCCTTAGAAGAACCAGCCCAAATATGACAACAGTATTCCATACAGGGACAAATAAGAGATTTGTAGAGGTAGAGAATGGAATCAGAAGTAAGGAAATGGCGAGCACGATAAAGAGAAGCAACCTTAGAAGAAGCTAATTTAGCAATTGATTGTATATATGGTTTCCATGAAAGGTCAGTAGTAAGCGATAATCCAAGAAGACGTAAAGAGGAGGACTCAGTAAGAGGATTGCCATTCATTAATATAGGAATGTTGAGAGAATGGCAGAAAGAAATGCACAGAGAGAATGGCAGAGAGAAATGCACAGAGAATGGCAGAGGTTTACTTATAAGAAAAATCTGAGAAAAAATCCAATTGCAATCAACAAATACAACTACTAACATTGATTCCAACTTATTGGTCTAACAAATATATAGAAGAAGAGTTTAATGTATATAGTTATATGGTGCAGATATAACACAAATTGTTGCAAAAAAATGGTATTTCATCTTTACCTGACGAAAAAAATAGAGGATAGGAAATACCTCAAGTGACTGTAAATAAAATTATTGAATTTTATTGTAATAATGACAATAGCAGACAAAAGTCTGAAAAAAAAAGGTTTTGTAAGTATATATTAAAGATCTCACATACAAAAGATTTGATAATAGTTATCTAGATGTAAAGACTTCTTTTTCTAACATTTGCTGCATATTGTTTAATACAGTTGAACAAAAATGAGCAAAAGTTTGCAGTTGGAGCATCAGTTTCACATATAGTATGTGTGTGCATCTACCATCAAAATTTTAAGTTAAGATAAGTGCAGTTAAACTATCAAAGGATTATCATGAACTTGTCTGTCAAAAAGCTAACAAGAATTGCATGATACATCTATACCCTTTGTTTCCTTAAAAAGTTGAGTTGCTTCTTTTATTAGATTAAAAAATGAGTTTCTTAGTACTGAGGTTATTGTGCTCTGTGATTTTTCTGAAAGTTATGAGTGTTTTTATTAGACAAAATTCAAAGTTTTTACTGGAAAAAAATTCAAGCAGCATTGCATCCAACAGTAATTTATTACAAATTAAATAATGTACTCAAATGTGATTTGATATTTTTTTATCTCTAATAATTTAATGCATGATGTAGATATGGTATATAATGTAATAAAGTAAACAATTAAACATACTAAAAGCAATACTTCTAAGGAAATGGAAGTTTTTCATTACTTTTCAAATGGATGCGCTGGCCATTATAAAAATTTCAAACACTTTATTATTTTGTCATCATGAACAAGATTTTGCAATTAAATGTACATGGTTCTTTTTTTGCAACAAGTCATGGTAAATCACTTTGTGATGATATCGGTAGGACTGTGAAACAACTAACTTCAATTGATAGCATTCATAGAATAACAACTAACCTTATACTTTCTGGAATGTTTGATTTTTATTAAAATGAAAACTTAGGAATCAGTTTTAATCACATATCAGGGAGTCAAACACAGTTATCTGAAGTGTAATAAAGCAAAAATACACAAGTGTAAAAACTTTACCAGGCACTAGCAGATATCACAGTTTCAGTGCTACAAGTAACACAAAAAATTAGTTAGCTAAAGTTATTAATTTTAAAAATTAGCTAAAGTTGTCTCTGAACAACTAGAGTATTTATTTGTTTTTAGTTTCCAAACTAATGAAATTGTTAAGGAATGATTTTTTATTAATATGAGCCTTGGAATGTTTGAATGTTTGATATATGATAACAATCCATTGATTGGACTAGTTGAATAGATTGATGTTGAAAAAAAGACTTTAAAGTAAGACACATGCATCCATGTTACTTTTCAAGATCTTATTATTGGCTATCAAAAAATGATGTATGTTGGATTCCATCAACAAATTTATCGTTAATGATTAATATTCCAACAATTGCCACAGGAAGACAATACGCAATCAGTGAGATTGAACACCAAAGCATTGAAGACAGATGGGTAAAATTTAAACTTAAAAACTAAATTTTCCAGAACTGTTTAAGAATGTTAATTCTTATAAAGTATTACCTTTAGTATTTTTAATTCATTCTTAATGTTCATAATCTTTATTTTTTTAACTTACTATATTTTTTGAGTTTATGATTATAAAATTTTTATTCCAAATAAATCAAATTTAAAAAAGAAAACGCTTGCAGTTTTTTGTAATACAGAGTTTTTTACATATAGAACCCTAAGAAAAAATTTAAGAATCGTATCTTTAAGGCACCTAAAAGTATACTTTCTGTACGGGGCGTCAGAAAACTCAAAAAAAAAAGTTGCACCATTTTGAAATTAATTTTTCATATAGATTTTGTAGCGTTTAAGCCATCATTTTCGAGTTCTTCACCCTAAAAAATAAGTAGGTAAAAATTTTCATTACCATTGAACAAGTACTACTAAAGTTAATACTAATAGTGTGACACTGTCTATTTAAAAAATCAATGGCGCTAAAAAACCAGTCAAAAAAGAGACTGGAATGAGTATCGATATCTCCAAAACTGTAAGGAATTTGAAACTAAATTTTGGAGTGAAGTTTTTTTCATTTATTTAAGCTTTTATAACAAAAATTATCAATATCTGAGATGACATGGTGTCAAGCATAACTTGAATTAAGCTGGAATGACCCAAAGATATTGACTGTATAAAAGAAAGTGTATTTTAATTTGCTCAACTTGTTTAAATACTTAACAACAATGTGTTTTTACTGCACTACTGTAATACTGAATAACAAGGAATATTTAAAAAAAAACATATTTTTAAACATACTTTCTTTTACTGAAATAATAAAAATTTAAATACTACAATAAGTGGGTACCCGGGTGCTAAACACCAAGGTAAAGTTTGGTATTAACATTAAAGTTAACTAATTTTTCTTTTCAAGTTTTTAAATATTATATACTTATTGATAAAAATTCTACAGTCAATGATTCTTTGAGCTCTTCAAAGACTTTACCATTGAAAGCTACACTTCAACTTAAAGATGCCACAAAAGATCCATTAGCTAAATCATCTGAAGACAATGCTGTTAAAAAACAGCGGCCTAAATCTGCAACTCTCACCAAAAAATCAACTTCATTCACCAATATCAGGTATTTATGTATGTATAATGTCTAGAAACCTTAGTCATTATACTTTCACTTTTCTTTATTATAGTTTAACTTTTCCTTATACATAGCAACTTCAAACCTCCTACTCCAACAAGTAGCGATCAAATAAATTCAGTTTTGTTGAGAGAACAAATTTATTATGACTGGCTGCAAAGAAAGCAATCATTTACAAAAGAGCTTCAACAAGAAAAATTAAAAAAAAATCAAAAGGAAGAAGAAGAGAAGCGTAATAAAGAAGAAGAAAAAAAACTATTGGTATTTTTGACAAAATGTCTTAAATTAACTTATTATCAAATTGTTTGTTACTCTTGATTCCTTATTAAAAGGAGGGGGGGAGGGAGTAAAAAAACAAACAAAGTATAATAAAAAACAGATTTACTATTTAAAATTGATTAAACATTTGAAATAGTTACTCTAAAGTTGATCAGATTTTAGTACAATAGTTTTTAATGTTATAAAAAATTAAAATTAATAAATTTTATAGGCTAAGAAATCTTTTGAGGCATGGACAGAGACCAAGATGGAAAAACTAAAAAAAGATTCAATTAAAAAGAAAGAAAGTGAAGAGAAAAAGAAAGAGTTAGAAGAAGAAAAAGCTCAAAAAATTAAAGATTCAAAAAAAACTTTTGATAATTGGAAAGAAAATAAAGAAGATCAAATAAAAGTAAATAATTTTTTTTAATTTTCAATCATTAAGTTTTATTTAGATAAATAATGATTATGGTGCAATACACAATGATGAAATACTATGATACATGTTTATATGCTATAATGGACAATGACAATGAAATTTATTATATAATATTTTGACCTAGCTAGATTTATTTATTATATGATAGTGGTGTAGTGCTAGAGCGCCTGCTTCATAAGCGAGAAGTTCTGAGTTCAATCTCCACCACATCCCTGGTACTACCACACTCAACTTAATTCTTCGCGCAGCTACCTTGTTTGTCAAGGTTCATGTTTTAGATTTAAAGAGATGAGAGAGGGTTGTAACCACAATAAAATAGTCTCCTCGGCTGTAGTGGGCCTCCTGGCCCTAAGATGGTGAACAACAACAACAAAAAATGTGAATTTATTCATATTGTGGCTAAGGATTTAAGTTATTGATTTTGTTAAGCTTTAATTGACACTGCTGAAAAAAAACCCTTTTGGTTTTGTATAAAATATATTGTTAATTTAATCTTTTTATTTCAAAAATACATTTAGAAAGAGAAATTAAAAAAGCAAAAAGAAGAAGCAAAGAAAAAGAAAGAAGAGCTCAACCAAAGTTTAGAAAAAGCAGCTGATGTAAAAAAGGTTTTTGAAAACTGGTAAAAAAATATTATGATACTAAAATATTTAAGAAAAAAGTTTTATATACTAATAAGTAAGTAAAAAAAAGTTTATGCAAAAACTTTAGGAAACAACAAAAAGATGAACTATTAAAAAAAAAGATAATAGAGCAAAAGGAAGAAATGAGGAACAAAAGCAAAGCCGAACTTGATAAAATGGAAAAGAAACAACAATCTCAACAAGCATTTGAAAATTGGAAGGAAAAGAAATCATCTCGTCCTTCTTCACCTGCTCTGACCCAAAGGTATCTATTATTTAAGTATTAAATTTCTGTTGAAGGTGTTTAAAGTTATGCTAATTTTAATTTTTTGAAAATATTTTGAATATTAGCTTCAATGATAATTATAAAACTGTCTAGGGCTTGGTGTCCAGTAGGGCGCAATCCAAAAGACTCAATTCCAGCATCTGTTCAACCTGTTATTCTTAGGAATGTTCCACCTTCTATTCGTATGCGAACACTTAGTGCATCTTGAATGTTCTTATCTGAAAATTTACCTGATATTATATTGAACCAGTGAGGTTAATATATAATATATAGAAATTTTAGATAATACATAGAGTAATAACTACAAGGATGTCCTGTAAATCATATAACTAGTATTTACTTATTACAAGGGTATCCTGTAAAATGTATAAGTAGTAGTTACTTATAAGTGTAAATATGTAATAAACTGATGAAAAAAAGTTATTAATTTAAACAAGTAAATAATACATAGCAAAAGTAAATTATATATATAGCGTAAAATATAACTTTATAGTATAAGATAAAACCTTATATCAAAGATAAAACTTTAGATTAGTTTAAAAAAAAGAGTTTTCTAAGAACTTTTCAGGAGGTTAAGATTTAAGAATCAATTTTTTAATATGTCAATCAAATTCAAAAAACTAATTACATTTTGCAGAAAAAAAAAAAATTTTAATATAAATTTCTTAATTTTACTTTTACTTTTAGACTTATTTTATATACAAATAACTTTAAAATAGTCAATACTTTTTATGTGATTAACTTTTAATTCAATAATATAATATAGAACATAGTGAATTTTAAGGGTATTATTTTAAGACATATATTATTATTTTAAGACTTAATATTACTAGTAAGGATTTTATGGAACATTTTAAATATATTATAAATTAATATATAAAAACATACTAAATAGAAATAAATAATATAATGATATGAAAATATCTAAATGCATGGTGTGTATGCATGGTGTATTATTCTTAAGGTGATTTATACATTTTATGTCAAAAAAATATTTAAAAAATTTTTGTTTAATATATTTACTTTATTTATGCAAAATTTGTTGTTGTTATTTAGTTTTAGTTTTGCATCTCTAAGAGGTTCTTATTTTCCTACTTAATGTTGTTCTTTTGTCGCAAGTAAAAGTTTTTGTGGTATTAGGAGATTTTACATGAACGTTTTTTTAATACTTGTTTAATAGTATTTTTTAATTTCTTTTTCAAATGTAAATATTTTATAAAAGTTAATATATATATATATATATATATATATATATATATATATATATATATATATATATATATATATCTGTTGATATTGTTTTATTATATTGTCTAATATTTAAATGTAAATATTTTGTTCCTCTTTTTAAGAAGGAATTTTTAGCCTTGAAAAATATTGTCTTATTTCATCAAACGTATTCTTGTAGTCGGTAAAACGCGAACCGCGAAATGCGAACCTGTAAAATGCGAACTTTTCTGCGAACCATGGTCCTAATGGTTGTTAATGGTGTAATATTTTTTATATTCTGTTTGTCGTTAGTTTGTTTATTTTGCGATAGATTTTATTGACTTTAAGCAGAAGCATCCCAGCGGGCATTTGTTTTTAAAAGTTACGTTCTAAATGTATTTTAAATGTCTTTTAAGGCCGTTTTCCACAAGACGAAAAATTCGCGTGAAGCGAATTTTTTCGTCGATAGCATGCGCAGATTAATCATTTTTGGCGATTATGCTGTTTTATTTTTGCTACAATGTTTTGCCGCAGCGAAAAAAAAAAGTCGGATTCATTTCGACTTTTTGCGAATCGCCATAAGCGAAAACCAATCAAGTTTTGAATATTATGTCACGTGATGTCAACAGTAAAAAAGCGAAAACATGTTGTTTTTAGAGTAATAAAAAACAAAATTCTTAACCTGGCGTTCTTATTAATTTTATATGAACTTACTCTCAAAATTAATTAGCAAGTATGAGTAAATTCATTAAACAAGGAGCAAGACTTATATAAAAAAATGACCAGACTTATATATAAAACTAAATCGAGAATTTACAAATATAAATTTTCACACTGTAAATTACGAAAGTTACACTTCATAAGAATGTTTAACTTCAAGTAGCCACACGAAGATAAACCTTTTTGTGAAAAATCCTTCATAGAGTTAAACCTGCTGTTCGTTCTTGCAGTAACAGTTTTTTAATAAAAATGTTCATATCAGAGTTTAGCATTTATTTTCTTATACTTTCTTGTAAGAAAAAACCTTATATTAAATATTGAGCAGCCGTGGCGCAGTGGTTAGAGTTCTGGCTCAGAATCCAGAGGTCCGAGGTTCGATGCCAGCTCAAGCCCAACAAGCGACATTGGTACGGAAGGAGGCGTGAACTTCCAGTTAAATGCTCTCCCGCGGTGCTCTATGATAAGACCGTAAGGACTTCTGGGAGCACCTAAATACATACAAAAAAAAAAAAAAAATGATTGTATTACAAAATGATATCACATCTTACATATAAAGACAGAAATATTAATATTAATGCACGGAAAGAAATTTTCATATGCTTCAAAGTAGAAAGTATGCTAAAAAATTAATAACTACTTTTAGTTAAACATACAGCGTTAACTCTGTAAATTTTATTGCTGCCATTTTTATTGTTGACAACGAAAAAAAAGCAGCGCGAAAGAAAATAAGTGGAAATCAAAATAGCGTTTTGTCGTAGCGAAAAATTTTGCTTCGCGCAAATATTTCGTCTTGTGGAAAACGGCCTTTAAACGTTTTCTAAACAATTTTCCGTAAAGAACGTTTAAAAAAACGTTTCAAAGACATTTAGAACGTAACTTTTAAAAACAAAATGCCCGTAGGGATAAGTTATATTTAATTTAAAAGTTAAAAAATCTAATTTAAATAAAGTACATAAACTCCATAATATTTAGTTTAAATGAAAAAATTAATGAGCAAACGTTTTTTAAAACGGTCATTAAAATATAATGTTGTGGTTCACATTTTACCGACTACCGGAAAATTCTTGTTTTAAACTGCAAACTTAATTATAAGTAAAATTTTTTTGATTTTTTATATTTTAATGTCCATAAAATTAAATCTTTTATTAAAAAGAAAAGAAAAGATGTGCTTAAAATGTTTTGGAGTTGTTAGTTCATGCATATTTACATTAGTAAGATGGTCGAATTATAAAAAATTTATTTAATGCTGCATATGCAATAAAATCAGCCAGTG